CGTGCTAACTGATTTCACTTTAAATGAATAACCATTTTCTTAAATGTGGAGGCTCTTGGCATTGCTTGGAAATTATACATTTCTTTATGCATTTCACTACCCCTCCATTCTCTGAGATCATTTTTTCACACTTTTTGCATTCTCCTTAACTACAAATACATCCTCGACCCACTTTCAGCATAAGACTTGCTTCTTATTTCACTAAGAAAATAGGCACAATCAGAAAAGACCATCCTCATATCACAAAATCCTCTGATGAGGACATGAAAATCTTCCTCTGTTCAGTCTATGTACTAATAAGGTTACCCTCATTTGTGAATTCAATGATGCAAATAGAGTTTTGAGTTCTTCATGAAATATTTCCAAGAGATTCTAAAGACTATAAGACAATTATTTTATACAATGTCCCTCAACTTGGGTTTGTCAAATATTTTTTCATGCTAAGTTTTAGCCTGTGAACTTCCAGCCAGAACAGTACACACTACACAACACGAAGTTGTGTCATCCTGAGTAATACACAAAGGTGCAAGACATCCATGTGCCCCTCTTTGGTGATCTTAGTTTTTACACCTGATCAAGATGTCGTCTGGTTTCTCCACTGTGTAGTTACTACTTTCTCCCTTATAACTAACAAGAAGTCTGGGGATAGACACTTTAAGAGCATGCAAATATCCTGCTCCTCAGCAACCCTTCCCCCCAGATTTAGCATCGATTGATGATTCTTATCCCAAACTTTTCTTACGATGGTTTTCAAATGTGATTTTTGCAATTGCACAACTCCTGTCTACATGTATCCTTTGGCATTTTTCTGTTAGCAACAGCTTCCCCTCCTTCTCCATTGTTTATCTATAACATCTATCTACGTATCTATGTATCAATCTATCTATGTTTCTATCTATCATCGGGGGACTCAATAGTGTACTTCAAATCTCAATTTTCTTGACAGCATTGAAACTCCTTGTTTTCCTTTTGCTGGCATTTGATTTTTATATCTTTGCCAAGTCTTTTGTTATCGTCTTTCTATATTTTCTTTCAGGTGTGTATCATCCAAACTTATTTTTTTTAGAAGGGGTTAACATGATCACTTTCCTTTGTTTAGACGGAAGTTCTGGAAAGTATGGAAATGTAAGACTTGACAAATAAGTCTTATTTTCATACTGATGGCTTTAGAAATAATTTTAGTTAAACAAGAGACTGTTAATTTTACCCAAGATGACAGTAGTAAAAAACTACTTTGGACTGTCACTGTCCAACAAAGGGTCAGGTGTGGCAGATAACGTTTTCTTGGTAATCTCCCCACAGTGCAGAGTAATACTCTTCGCTGTAGGATTACCTCCTGGGAATTTTCACCAAGGAATCATATAACCTTGGCTAAATTATTTTCTCCTCATTTATGTGGCCTCCAGGATTTGGACAATACAATAATTTGGGTTGTTATCTCAATTATCACAGTGTTAATTAATTAATGTGGATAAAAACATTTTATATTTCCACAGATGAAAGATTTTGAAAAGTATTCAATACTACTCTGTGTTGTTTCCTGATCCTTTAAGTAAAAGCTTAATTAGTGACTTTGAGAAGGAAATGGGAAGTAATCAAGCACATTATGTTTTCAAAGACCTAGCCTTTTTGCAGTAAAAATACTTCCACCAAGGTTCATTATGTTTTTTGCATTATTCAGTTCCAAGAACAATGCACTTACTGAAAATGCAACATGCCCCTGTGATCTGCCAGTATAAATGGTGCCACTATAAAGTTTTAAAAGCATGTTTCCATGCATGAAATAGAAACCTCAAACCTAAGAAAGCACAAGACTACACATTGAAATATTTTGTATCTTCTATTCTAATTTTATAAAAAACATTTTTAAATGTTTGAAAAATTAATTTTAGGGGCTGGTCCAGTGGAGCAGTGGTTAAGTTTGAGCACTCTGCTTTGGCAGCCCGGGGTTCACGGGTTTGGATCCTGGGTGCACCTACACTCTACTCATCAAGCCACGCTGTGGTGGCACCCCACATATAAAATAGAGGAAGACTGGTACAGACAGCTCAGCAACATCTTCCTCAAGCAAAAAGAAGATTGGCAATGGGTGTTAGCTCAGGGCTAATCTTCCTCACTAAAAAAAATAAATAAATAAAATTAGTTTTGACTAAAGTTTTTTTGGATCAAGCAAAAATGCATCTGGAATGTTATCAACAGAGTGTTTCTCCTTGCCGTCTCCCTAATTATTGTCTCTGCCTGACTCTCCTTTGTTCTTCTCCAGCTATGGGTTAATCAGGTGAAACTGGGGAGACGTGGAAAATAAAAAATAATTCCCCCTATTTTTCCCTTATACCCTAGTCCTAACATCTTACACTAACCCCAACAATATTCTTAGTAAGCTGGGAAGATTCAAAATTGTAAATTGCTTTTGTCGTGAGTAAAAGCTGCATAGCCAACCCTGGAGGTCTAGATTCAGCACTATTACCACCAGGCCCAGATTCATTTCTTAGCCTGTCTGTCAGTTATCACACTGTGGTGGCTGCATGTTGCTGTGATGCTAAAAGCGATGCCACCAGGATTTCTAATACCAGTAGGGTCATCCACAGTGGACAGATTTCAGCAGAGCTTCCAGACTAAGACAAACTAGGAAGAAGGAAGTGGCCACCCACTTCTGAAAAAATTGGCCATGAAAACCCTATGAACAGCAGTGGAGCATTGTCTGATACAGCAGCAGAAGGTGAGAGGATGGCACAAATAGACAGGGCAGCGTTCTGTTCTAGTGGACACAGGGTTGCTGGAAGTTGGAATCAGCTTCATGGCACTAACAGCAAAAGCTACATATTCCAGGGTGAAATTTGAGGTAAATTCCATAGCTATTGCTATATAGCAAAATCAGATCTTGTCATGAGTTGTGTTCTTCATTTGTTCACATTTGTTCAGCCATGTCTACTGAGTGCCCATTAAGTGCTAGTCTTGATCTTATCAGCATGGGATTGAGTAGCGAACAAAATAGACAAAGATCCCTGCCTCCTAGAGCTAATATTCTAGAAGAAGAGGATGGACAATAAACAATAAACTTAATGATTAGGTAAACTACATGGTATTCTTAGAAGATTAAAACATTCTGGAAAGGAAGTAGAGTAGAGTAAGGAGGATGGGATGCTGTGAGGAGGGACATGTTACAATCATAAACAGGATGATCAGAGTAGCCCTCATTCAGAGGTGGCCTTTGATCAAAGACTTGAATTAAGTGAGGGGGTCAGTGTTCTAGGCAGAGCCCTAAGATGGGAGTGTGCCCTGTTTCTTCATGGAACAGCAAAGGAAAAAGTGTGACTGGAGCCAGAATGGCAAGAAGGAGAGTAGAAGGCAATGAGGTCAGAAAAATAAAAGCAAAAGCCAGATCACACATTGCCCTGCAGGGTCTGATAAAGAATCTACCTTTTACTTTGGATAAACGAGGAACCACTGGCTTTGACTCTTCCTCTTGGGGAAACGGGGAGCCACTGGAGATTTTGAGCCGAGGAGTGATATGATTTGACCTCTACTTTAAAAGGTCCATTCTGCCTACTGTGTTGCGAATGGACCCCAGGGGGCCAAGAGTGGATGCTGGGAAACCGGTTAGGTTGTTACCCCATAAATGGAGGGAGGGCTGGTGGTGGCTCCCACCAGGAGTAACAGTGGGCACTGTGAGAAGTAGTCAGATACTGAATACATTTTGATGATGCAGCTGAGAAGATTTCCTGGCAAACTGCATGTAGGTTTGAGGGAAAGACAAGAGTCAAGGATGACTCTAAGGCATTTAGCTCGAGCCACTAGAAGGCTAGAGATACCATCAGCTGATTTGGTAAAGGCTGTGAGGGAAAGAGGATTTGAGGGGTTAACCAGAATCATAGCTTTAGACATGTTAAATTTGAGGTATCTATTAGACATCCAAGTGGAGATGTCCAACAGGCAGTGGGATCAAATGAATCTGAAACTCAGGAAAGAGATTTGGAGCAGAGATATACAACTTTGGGAGGCATTAGCATATAATGGCACTTAGTACCACAAGGCCAAATGGTATAACCAAAGAAGTGAGTGTAGATACAGGATGAAAAAAGACATAAGACTGAGCCCCGAGGCACTCCAACATGAAGATATTGGAGAAGAGGAGGAACAGACAGAAGAGGAACAGGAGAAATGGTCACTCTCTCATTCATCTGAAATTTGCTCCCTCAAGTTGAAGACGATAGGGGAAAGGTTAAGAGAGGAAGGAAGGATCAGGGAATTGACATACAAGGCAGATTGCACGTAGAAGGGATCATTTTCCTTTCCTATAGGGATGGAGAGAGAGGTTAGGAAATCATCTTCCTAAGGATGTGTTAGATTTAGAACTTGACTCCTTTCTATATGTCACATTGTACATAAACAGATTGACTTAGAAAGCACTATTGAAATCATCTAATGCAAAATGCAATATTTTGTTTACAGAGTCCTATGTGTTCAATATATTTATATGTGAAACTTCTAGCAGATTCTCAACAAATACTTGTCAAATTATTAATTTATTACTTTTGCTCTTTGTTGAGAATTTTAATATTATATTAAAACTGTTTTCTTTGCATAAAGTGGACACATAAGAACTTTCTTCAATACTTTTTCTCAAGATCTATCAAATTACATGCCAGCTTATTCAGATATGTGACTTACACTTTTTATAACTATTTGTCAGAAGTCACCAGATAATAGTCGCTGTTGGTGTGAATTGTCTATTTCTCTTAACCCTGGCTGATTGGCAACTGTGGTCAATGAGACAACCATCGAAAATAAGACTGTCTTCAAATATGAGATGGATTTTATTATTTGGATCTAAGTAATCTCCATTCGAAGTTAGAGCTCCAATCTACATTTACTTAGAATTACCCTATGCACTTGGAGATTCTTCCGGTGAAAGTCTTTAATGCTTCCTCTCTCCAAGGAGTAGAGCATAACTAACAAATATGACTCTTCCTTCAGAAGGAGTAAGCAATTTTGCTTACCAGGATAGGAGGAGATGGCATTGATGTGGGTGGTCCTGATGACGCCCACCCGGGTCCCACGATTGTTTTTCATGCACATGCAGATACATATGGCAATTCCAGCAATGACCCCCATGATGAATACAATTCCAAACACTATGCCAGCAATTGCTGTGCCCCTAAAATGAGAAAACAAAAGTACATTTATAGTAAAGGCTCTTAAATATTCTTCAGCCTTTCAAATACAGCTCCGTAACTATATGACAAGTGCTTCTTTACAAATGTCCTTAAGGATAATGTTAAAAAAGGATAATTCTCTGAATTGGTCAAGGAAATAGTCTTGTGCATTGCTATGGATAGGAAAAAGGTATCAACCTTCAGGGAATCGTCTTCCAGCAAAATTTACCCATCGTTCAGATTCTGGTTTTAAAAATTCATGTATTTATACAAAGCACAATTCTCCAGATATGCTCTCTAAAACGATAATTAAAAAACCATTCTGCTGTGTACTTATACAGCAAAGAACTTATCTATTGTTTGTCAAGTACGTGTGTTTAATGAAAACAACTTGATAAGTGCCAAAATATTAAACAAAATTTAACATTTATTCCTGATTAAAACTCTTCATAAAGTAGAACCAGAATATTTTCTTTTCTAACAAAACAAAGAAAACCAAACCAAACATCATTTTTTTTATTATTCATAGAATGGTTATGACAAACAAGTATTCATTCCCATTAAATTCAAGAACAATATAAGCAAAACCTTTACTTCTATTAATGTTCATGTTTTTCTCCAGAAAGTTTTATCTCATGCAACAAGATCATAGGAAGAAAAAAACACTGCAAGAAAGAATCAACAATATCATTATGTGTAGATACTATGATTTGTAGGAGTCTACATTTGTCCACCATTTTGGAAAGTAATATGGAAATCTTTACCAAAATGTAAAATTTCACCATTCAGTATCATTTCTATTAATGCTTCCTAAGGTAATACAGCACATGTGTGCACAAATAATGTAACAAGAATGTTCATCAAAGTCTTGTTGCTAATAGCAAAATATCAGAAGCACGCTAATGTCCATAAAAAAGGAATTGACAAAAAAGGAAAAAAATACGATACATCAGAGAATGGATCCTCGACCACGATAGAAAGGGTGAAGAGGTCCACGTGGATTGAGGTGAAATGTTCATGACACATGGTTAACGTAACACTATGAACAAAAAAAGCAAGTATTAACAGAATAATACCAGTATTATCAGAAGAATTGCAACGGGGTAAACTATATTGTTATATATAAAATTTTTCAATGTATATTCAATGTGTATATACAAGTGATTATCTTGTAGACACGGAAAAGTAAAGAAAATTTCCATTTTCTAATTTCCGTACTCCCCAGAGGCAACCATTTTCAACTCTCTCAGCAATTTTTTTCGAGTATTTTTCTTCCTATTTCTCAATATTATTACATTCTTTTAATTTTTAATTTTTATTTTTACATATTATCTATTGGCTCCTCTTATAGCATTTGGGAATGTGATCCCTTAGACAAACTTAATCCTTGGTTACATTAGTCATCAGTGGTATTTATTTATATTACCATGACATTGCTTACTGCTGAGCCAAGCGATGTACTCTGCTTACCTTTCATTTCTCTTATATTTATTTTTTTTTTACGGAATTTCCATGAGTTCTCTTTTTTTTTTTCATCTACCTATTGCTGGTCCCCTTCCCCTGAAAAATTCTTAGAAATCTTCCAAACAATTATCAGCAACTTTTTCAAACACTCAAACACAGTAACAATCACTTTATCAGTTCTGTTTTATCTCCATGGAGACTTCTGTCTTACTCCAGTGGTTCCTCTGGAGTTTGGAACTGTTTCTAGATCTGTGTGGTGGTCCTCAGGTTTCTAGTTTCTGGACCCCATTCCTGCATTTTCATGGTGAACTTCCCTGTTTGCCAAAGCACATTCCTGAGTGGCTTCTTACAGAAAGGTTCAGGGGAGATAAATGTTTTGAGTCCTTGTATGCTTGAAACTGAATTAATGCTACATACATGATTGATAGTTTGGCTGTGTATGGAATTCTAAGCTGAAAGACATTATTTCTCAGGAATATGAAGGCATTGTTCATTGTCTTCTAGAATTTGGTATTGCTGTAGAGAAATCCTATGGCATTCTAATTATTTTCCTTTGTGTGATAGTGTTTTTTTCTCTTCTTTTTTGCTGGAAGTTCTTAGCATCTTCTTTTTACTCCTTGTATCCTGGAACTTCGCAATATGTTTGGATTTTTTTAAAAAATTATTTTGCCAGGCCCTCAGGATTTTTCATGCTAGAGACTTACATTCTTCAGGTCTTGTAACTGTCCATAAATAGATAATTTCCTCTCCATCACTTTCTCTGTTTCTCTTTCTGGAAGCCTATTCTGAAATAAGTCTCTGAATCTCCCAGATGGCTTTTCTAATTTTTCTTAACTCTGTTTTCTTGAATTACTTTCTGGGGAATTTCATTGACTTTATCTTCCAAAGTTTTACTGAACTTTTAAATTTCAGCTACCATATTGTTAATTTCCAGGTGCTCTATCTTATCCTCTGTCACATCCCTCCCTTTTTTTCATAGTGTCCTGTTTTGCTTTCGTGGATGCAATTTCTTCTCTTAATCTCCAAAGATACTAATGATATACTTTTAGAAACTTTCCCTACTCTTCATATTTCCCCTGTGGCATCTAGGTTCCCTTTTATTGATTGTTTATTTTGACCTATGTCATGTTTGACATTTTCCTTAAATGTCTGGTGATCCTTGAATCTCCTCCTATTTAAAACAGAGGTACTAAATAGTTGCTTGGAAATCCACTGTGCAAGGCCAGCATTGGACAGGTGAGCCCCACAGAAGAGGATCACCTGAGATCAGTCCTCATAGTCTTTTTTATTTGGGGCTGTTCATTTTTCTCCATAAAAGGAACCTCCAATTTCATACTTGGGAAGCATAAGCTGGGCTGCCAGCATCCCAGAGCCTGGGGATTTACACACAAGGGTACGAACTTTCACAAAATCCTCCTGCTTTCAGCTCAGAGACTCCGTCTCTCTGCTGTGACTGTGGAGGCTTTCAGGATAAGTCTTCAAAAACAAAATCTTCGTGGCTTAAAAGCATGACTTCTGAAGCGAGACTGCCCGGATTCCAGGTAGCTGGGTAACCTTGGGCAAGTCGCTCAACCCTTCGGTTTCTTTACTGATGAAATGAAGGTCAGCTTGGTGCTGCTTTCATTCTCCTAAATTCCATGTCATGAAATATCTGTGCTCATGGCTCTCTTGCCAGACAAATAAGTTCTTACTCTCAGACCTATCTGAATATCTATCTTATACTTTTTCTAGGACAGGTCCATATTCTCTCATCCCAAGCCCTTGGGGCCACACACATCTTGTAAATCAGGAATTTTCAGATTTTGGACAGGGGATACAGTATATACACTGTATATTGTATGATACTCCCAGGGCTAGCATTCTGAGCACAATGAATTTACATGTCTGCAGCAAAGGTGGGAATACTAACCCTCATGGATTACATAGAGACTAGAAGAAAGCCCCAGGTTCATTCAGGTCCCATCTTGCCATCCATCGACTTATATCAAACCTTTCATTTTCCAGAGTTTTTTGAGGATTTCAGAATTGCAGATAAGGCATTTTGAACCTGTATTCATTCTTTTCAGAAGAGAATTTTTCTCTCTAAGTCTTTTACACATTCACTTAGAAAACCAGAATACCGTTAAGAATTCCAATAGGCTCCCTTGAAATATTCCTACATGCATTTGTACGTTGTTAGCAAATTATGAAAGCAGAATGAGAGGCATATTAGGATTGCACTGCTATTACTAATCAAAAATGGCAGAGTCTAGAAGTTTAACAAATAGGGCTTTTCAAGAAAAAAGATTTATCAAAGGAGGTAATATGAAATAAGAAAACTAAAAGTAATCTGGAAACTTCCTTTTTATTGTAATTTTCAGGTCTAAATAAGATTAAATTGGAGGGCTTAATTGATGTTCCAGAAATAATCAATAGCTCAATTATGCAGGCATAGAGTTTCCAAAGTATGTATTATGGAAGCTGTTAAGATATCAAATTGGGACATATTTATATTCATTAATACCCTTTTTAAATAGAGGAAAGTAGAAAATTACTCACATTTTGTTTGCTTGTTGGCAGCTCCAGCAAACATCCCTGCTCTTGAGGTCAATAATGAGGTTGCAACTAATGTGTTAAATGAAGTTTTTTGATGAAATCATGATTTCGATGTCCTTGATCCTTTGATACCCACCAGCAATTGTAAATTAGTTATTTGAGACATGGCAAGTATAAAATTTATAGTATTATCTACTCTGTTATTAATTAAAAGAAACAATAAATAAACCTTTCAGCATATAAATAATTTGGTTTAGTCAACTGTTGGAAAAAGAGAAGCTATTAATTTGAGAAATGCGGCATCATAAAAACTTTGAAAAAATTGCAGGGATTGCACTTTTTTTGAAAGAACACATTGCAGGGTTTGCATATTTTTCTTTTTAAAAAACTTTTATTTTGAAATAATTATACATTTATAAGAAGTTGAAAAAACAGTACAGAATGGTCGTGTGTACCCTTCACTCAGTTTCCCCCAATGGTTACATCTTAGGTAACTACAGGACAACATCAAAACCAGGAAACTGACACTGGTATAAAGTGTGTGTATAGTTCTATGTCATCTGAACACATGCAGAGATTCATGTAACCACTATGTGAGCAAGATTCAAAACTGACCCATCACCATAAAATATTTCTTCTGTGCTACTCTTTTAGAGTCAAACTAACCCCCGCTCCCCACCATCAATATCTCCTCTAACCACTAATTTCTTCTCCATTTCTGCAGTTTTACAGTTTCAAGAATGGTATACAAATGGAATCACATATGTGACCTTTTGAGATGGCTTTTTTCATTCAGCATAATGCCCTTGAAATCCGTCGTAGCTTTTGTGTGTATGAAAACATTCCCTTTTATTACTGAGTAGTATTCCATGGTATGGATATAGCATAGTTTGTTTAACCATTACCTATTGTAGAACATTTTGGCTATTTCCAGTCTTGGCTTTTACAAATAAAACTGCTATGAACAATCATGTACAGGTTTTCATGTGGACATACATATTCA